TAAGGAACATTTACAAGATTTTGCATTCGTTTCATGCTGTATATACCAATTAATTCGTTCACAGCGATGGGGGCAGACATTTTCATGAAGAGAGACCTTTAGGAAATATGCACATTTTCTCTAACACTAAATAAACAAATATGTATTTTACAGTTATAAGGAAGGTGAAATCTTATAGTTAGTCATTTTATAAATGGATTATTCTCTATTTAGAAAAAATATAAGTCATTTCAAGTGTTATTCATACAGTTTTGTTGAATAGGAAATACTGTACATCATATAAAATATTTCATATTTTCATATTTGTATCATATTTGTGCTGTGTACTTGAGCTTGTGTCCTCAAAAGTGACTACACCTCAGCAATTTATAACTATTTTTACCAGAAAGGTGAGATTTTAACCTTTCTTGAAGGATGCAGCATTACTAGTTATTGTTTATGGCCTTCTCATGATAAATAATTACTTTTTGGGGATTACGTAGATTATGTTTTTGATTACATTTAGTTACATTTAAGAGGTTAAAAATAAAAATAAATAAAAGTGTTTCTTTTTTTGTTGGGGGCCCTCATCCCCATCAGAATGTAATGAAGACCTAGAGAGAGCAGAGAGAGATAGACAAAAGAGTGAGGGACAGTATAAGGAACTAGAGGGAAGAGAAGTGAAGAGGAAGTTAACAGATGAGCCATCTATTGAGGAAGTTAAAAAAACAGTAGGGGGATTATTGGAGGAGAATTAGCACAAATTTGAAATGCTGCGCACGCAAGTGGATTACACAATCCCTATTCCACTTGTGTAGCCTACAGATGTAGGATCTTAATTAGATTACGCTTTTGTTTCTGAGAATTTTCCTACACAGTAGGAAATAAAAACTTGTAGTGTATTCGAGGTTTAAAAAGGCTTCTAAAGTTTGTAATTTCCACTTTAAAATGTCAGACTTGAATTGTCCTTACAAAAAATGTATCAAGCCCTACAAAAAATGTATATAAATTATAATCCACGTAATAATTCACATTTCCTGTTGCTGCAGTTGCTGCAGGATTATTTTCCTGCTTTAGCAAACTGGCTCAAATTACGATCCTACATCTGAAATAAAAACCGCCCAACTGCAAGTTGGCTTAGGCCTGGCCTACCACTTAACATAGACACTTTAAAACATGATGCATTGGAAAGGATATTCAGCTGTATTTGAAGATGTTCTTTTCCCCTCTGAACTCGTTTTGCTTCCTCTACATGTGGAGGTAGCTGTAGCTCTGGGCAGTGAGGAGTACCTTACAGAGAAGTGAAGAAGGCATCAATGGAGAGAACCTGAATGAATGCCAGAGTGACACAATATTAATGGCACATACAGAATATGAGATTGTTCTACTGGATGGCTCTTCCTGTCCTCATCAAAAGGCAAAGAAAAGGTAAGCGACCACCCTTTTCATGGGTTTTATATTAAAGACATGTAATTTAACTGTAAAAATGTATTACCTTTTAATGTGCCATGAACACAACCAGTCATTATGTTTTCATCTGAGTGTCAAACAAATCACTTAAAAAAGTATCAGTACATCAGAAATTATTCCAGCATCCGAACAGTGCACTGTGCACCCTCCAACTTTCCTCACCGGAGAAAGCATCCGAGCGAGCAAAACAACGCCCCTCTCTCTTACTATATATAGCCCATGTATCTGATGCTGTCTGGCCAAAAAGAGTATGACATGCCATACTATTCTTTGCCAGACAGCATCAGATACATTCTGATACGTACTCTGCATCTGCCACGACGACGATGCGTACTTTATCCTCCCTAGAGCAGTGGTATTCAAACTTTTTCAGCGGGGGACCCATTTTTTCCGACAGAATTTCTGGGGACCCCATTTTTTCCCCAAGAATTTCTCGCAAACCCCACCCCACCCCAAATCTAACGACACAACCTTAAAATCTGTAAATGTCGATTTTTACATCAACAACTAACCTTTCATTGCTTTCTCATCTCTTATCAAAATGAAAAGAAACCAATAAATACATGTGGTCAATAAAATTGTATTTTTCTCATTATCTTTCTCAAAAACATTTGTATATTGTCCCATACAATAATACTCTTAAGTTTGGCTATCCCACTGCAATTCCCCCACGATCCCACTAGGGACTTTGAATACCACTGCCCTAGACTTTAAGGGCCCCGGCTGGGTTTCTACTAAGCTAACATATGGAATAGTTTTAGGGTGGTCATACCAAGGATCATTTAGCTATTTGATTTGGAATTTTAGGACCCCTGTAGGTATATATAAAAAAACGCCATAGAAATGCAACAGATTCATAGAAAAACAGAAAGCCAAAAATGTAATCAAAAGGAAGTATGTTTTGAAGTGTCTGTCGTATATCTGAGTGATATAAGAAAGCTCAGGAGAATAAATATATAATTTTTACAGTGGAATTAGCCTTATACCTTTATGTGGAAATGCCCTATTCACTTCAATAACATTTTCGGCCCAGTACTGGGTTACATTCAGTCCAGTCCTGTGACACTTATGTGGGTCGTAGATCAAAACCGAGAACACCATCGTGTTCGTGAGAGACTCATCTTTCCAAACCGTTCAGACGCTACAGGCGTCTTCGTGAGAAGATCGATTTTGGGGATGTCTCCTGGTCTGACAAACACCGCTGTAGCTCTGACACCTTCCACAGCAGATATCTCTAGCAGAAATCTCTAGCTTTAACAGACACATTTTGATGGGGATTTTATTATTTTATTTTTTATTATGCCTCAAGTGGAGCATGGGGGGGCCTCAAGTGGAGCATGGGGGGGCCTCAAGGGGAGCATGGGGGGGCCTCAAGCGGTTACATTTATATTTTATTTTGTTATTATTATTATGCCCAGCTCACGAGGCCCCTTAATGACGTGATGCCTGAGGTAATTGCCTTTTCTGCCTAATGGTAAGTTCGTCAGTGACCACATGACTTCAGATCTACAGTCCTTATGTTAGGTCTACTAGTGTATTGGAAGATGGGAATTACAACCGACTTGGAGTCTATTTGAAATTGGGTAATAGACGGAATAACAGCCAGTATGTCAATTTAGTCAGTCAAATCCAAGGCAAATTTATGTTTTCTACCTAGCTAGATGCTACCCTCTGTTGGCTGCAATGAATTAACACATACACCACCTGGTGACTGACAGCCTGCTACACACTCTGGGAAGATCTCAATGGCATCCTCCTTATGGCCTCTCTGCTCTCCTCTCCTCCTTCTCAAAACCAATTGGATGAGAAAGCCAGAGGTCCCTTCCCTCTGACCTTCTTCTACAATGGGTTTTGAGAAGGAGACAAGGAGAGAGGATGTGAGGATTATGCAATTGAGATCTTCCCATTGAAGGGGGAATACATCATCCTACTGAAATGTGACCCCCTGTTTGAAGTGTAGGGGTTTTGAGGTGACCCTTAAACACATGTACCTCATTACATGGCAGCACTGGAGGATTATTGATACCAGATCCAGCTAATAAGACAACTGGTCACGCACTTCAGTTTCTGAGTCAAAAAACCCTCCTTAACCTCAGTTCAGCTAAAGAAAATCGAATAGGATGAGACTTTGAAAATTAAAGGCTTATAAACTCAAAATCTCAAATCTGAACAGATCATAAGGAATGTTGACATTTTATCTTGAAGTTGAAACATTTTCAAGCAACTTTCTCTCCTTTTTTTTTCTCAGCTGATGAAACAACCATTAGTTTGGACGATTAAAAACAACATTTCTGAGAACTTCCACTCTTGCAATGTTTTCTCTTGAGATAGCATTAGGTATGATTTCACCATCTGTCTAATAGTGTGGTTGCACAGGGTTACTAAGATGGTCAACTTGAACTTTGGCCATTACTGAGCTTTTTCTAAAGGAAACCCAGAGAGGAACGTCAAAGGGAACATCCAAGCGGTACTGTAGCTTTATACTGTACACTAATCCACCTACACAATGTCAATTTACCATATGACTCATGAATTTAACACCATGCCTTTTACTGTGAGGTGTGACATGATTTTTGTATGGATTGAGTTGTTGAAAAAATGTATATTGATGTGAGAATGAACTCCATATATTTATTGATTTTATCAGTGATCTTTGGGTAAAGTATTAGAGGTGTCCATGCCTGTGCTCCACTGGCACTCTTATTTTTTTACTGTCCAAAATATAATTGTCGTTGTGACTGAAAAGCTGATCCTTTTCCCACCACAAGAGGGTACCGTTGGCATGAATTAAGACATGTTGTTTTGTGTGGAGTGTAGACCTATTGGGCTTGTGTTTTCATTTAAAAGTGTCTAAAATAATGTGAGAACGTGCACTGTTTTGTCTTCAAAGCAGCATTGTGTTTTAGAGTTGCTCAACTAGTCTGGTTGTAACTGTTGTAATCCTCTTGTCAATATCACAGTCATTATACATAGGCAACAGTAGGGTGGGTACCTGTATAGAAAATACTTAGCAGGCTATTGAGTATTCATGTGATGTGAAATTATACTACTATTCAAGTGCATTGCATTCAAAATCCCTAAAAGAGAATGGCAAACAAACTTGTTGGATATTGCCATTTCAGTGTGTGGCTTTGCAACATCCTTAGGCTATTTTTACAGTAGGTCACAGTTCATTCGTAGCAATACTGTAAGTAGTATTAAGACCAAAGGGACATGTGCATGTGGATTTAACAAATATTCTCAGCAACATAAATGGACAATGATTCACTTGACTCAATGAATAGGTATTGACGTCAATAATAAGTCAAGTAAACATTTACATTTTTCAAGCAAGGAAGAGTTTCTTCCTGTAATTAGTTGATTTAGAGAGGTTTGATCCACATTCTATTCAACAGAAGCCAATGTTGTCCCAGCATTTCAAGCACTGCCAACCTAGGGTCACCAACAGGCCTCAGCCATAATCTTATCATTTCACTTTATTTGTGTGAACAACCCAAGGTTACGTCCCCCCTCTCATATGCATAAATGGAAAATCAAACAAACCAATGAACATGTTTTCCTTTGGTCAGATACATATGTTCACTTTCAAAGTAGTTCAGTTGGCTTATCTGGCTGGTCCTTCCCCATGCTGTGGGCACACAGCGCTGTGTTGTGGCTTGGGTGTCTCCATGGGAACGGGTGGCCAAGGAGAAAGGGAGGTTCCTGTCAGAGCACTGAAGGGTGTGTGGAAGTCGTCCTGGTCTCCTCCCCACCACCCGGCCATATTTAAACAGCCTGCAGCTCTCTCAGTCAGTCGCTTACAGAGGAGCTGTTCTTAACAAGAGAGATTCTGAGCCTGCTACTTATAGAGAGCCTCAGCTATCGTTTACAAGACCTTTACTACTACCATCGTTATCTATCTCACAAGCCTGTCTGTAAGGACACAGTGTTGGATTTACTGACATCTCATTTACACAAGGTACGCATCACATCATAATCATGACTTGAGAATAATTGACCTTTTCTCAATGTTTTCAATGCAAAGTTAAATTCCTTTTTCATGTGTTAAAAAATGTGATTGCCTGTGATTTGTTTCGATTTGTGTTGTCTAACAAGGATTTACTTTTACTTTTCCAGTTACCAAGCCCTATCAGGGAACTCATGTGGGTGGTGGAGAAGATCCGTGTGTCCGTGGAGAGAACCAACCTGCCTCTCCCCTCAACGGAATACAGCTTCAGGATCGGAGACATGTTTGGAGAGAAAGCTGACAAACACAAGAGACTTTCCCTGTGTCCTAATATTATCACCCCAGACACTATCCCAGAGTTTTGCATCCCTCCTAAGATCCCGTCCTTCCAGGAGCCGAAGGGTACAGAGCAGAGCCGCCAGGCCCCCATCATCAGAGTGTCCCTGTGTGAATGGGAGAGGGGGAGCCCTAAGAGGGAGGCGCCAACACGAAAAATCATCAGCCCACACATCATCCAGGTAGAGAATGTGGACGAGAGCCCCTATGACTGTAGTGATGAGGAGACCACCAACGCAGACCCTCAGAGCCAGGCAGCACTCTCCTTGCCCCACATGGCCAAAGCCCAGACCTGCTACGGTTTCTGTACCCTGCTGGAGAGCCCCCACACCAGGAGGAAGGAGTCCCTGTTCCACAACGACCCTGGCTCCTGTGGCATACCGCTGCTGTTCCCCAGGAGCAGGTCCAACACTTGCTCCAGAGTCTCCCACTCTACCTCCCCATCCTCCTCCCCTTCCTCCTTCAGTCTCCACACCCTGACCTCCAGACTCTCGCCCAGAGGGTATACACTCAACAGACAGGGCACAATGGACAGTGACACCACCTCCTCAGCTGAGTCCTCCCCTTTCAGCTCCCCAATGCTGAGCAGGTCCCCACCGAAGTCTTCCCTCTTCAAAACACTGAGTCATGAAAGGCTTCTTTCCAGAAACATCAGGAAGACTGTGGTGTCCAGAAACAACTCTCTGTCGACAGACGAGGGCAGCTCCACAGACAATAGTCCCAATTTCATGAGGAGGGCGTCAGATGGGCTGGTAGAGGGCCTTCCACCAAGCTTCAGTCTGGCCCCTCCTACCATCTTCCCTATAGACTTGGTTCTGCACAGGGAAAGGGTGATGAGGGAGAGCATGGTCCCTATAGGGAAGGACGGCACCCTGCGCCTCTCTGCAGAGTACTGTCCTGATAACCAGAGGCTGCGGGTGCGGCTCATCAGTGCTGAGGGACTATACACTCACTCGGTGGACCCCAAGAGTATCAACTGCAGTGTCAGCCTCTCCCTGGTGCCTGGAAAGGTCCAGAAGCAGCGTAGCACAGTCATCAGGAAGAGTCGTAACCCCATCTTCAATGAGGATTTCTTCTTTGATGCCATCTCAGAGGAGGACCTCTGCCAAAGCTCCCTGAGATTTAAAATAGTCAATAAAATGTCCACTATGAAAAGAGACTATATTCTGGGGGACGTTGAACTTCCGCTCACAAGCATTATCACTTTATAAGTTAAATAATTTGTCTTATTTATTTACTTGAATAGTATTTATTATCGCTTTTATACAATGAGCAGAGATTTTATACTGTATCTATTAAATCCTTTATAAAAATATCTATGTTTCCTTATCTTTTGTATCTAAAAGGGCAGTCTTGTAGTACATCTGTTGCAACAATAATGTTTTCATTTGGTGACAGAAGACTGAAAGGTCTTCCTTATACGAGAGTTCATCACATCGTACACAACCAACATCTTGTAGGCCTATATATTTTTTGCATACTGCCAATAATCACTCTAGGTTCCTCTTACTATCCATCATTCAGAAACATTACATCTCTGGATGACTATCTATTTTTGTCTTGACTTAGATCACCCTCCCAATGTACCTCTTTGTCAGCAGGGGAAGATGTAAAACATGGCCATCTCATGTGCCAATGTGAGAGACTCACCTTCTCTTATTTCCTTTATGCCTGTCGTTTCCTACTGACCTTTGCAAGAATCAGTATATCAGTGTTAACCAGAAACAGGCTAAATTTCTAACAGTGCTAATGACCAGTTCTGAAAAGTCATATCCACTTACCTTCTAAAAACCCTATTTATCGGAAAGCTATGAGTTAATCATTTACATTGACATTCTAGTCATTTAGCAGACGCTCTTATCCAGAACGACTTACAGTTAGTGCGTCCATCTTAAGATAGCTATGTGGGACAACCACATATCACAGTCATAGTAAGTACATTTTTCCTCAATAAAGTAGATTTCAGCAAAGTCAGAGCTAGTAAGAAAATAATAAGTCAATTGAGAGTGTTAGTTGATGAAAGGCTTTAAGTTGAGATGTTGCCCCCTTTTTTATTAATCATGTATTCTGGGATAACACAACTTGGTAGAGCTGTAATTGTCCAGGGCACAAAGACTTCGATCTGAAGTTGCACTGTACTAAAGCACATGCCATTACCATGTGCCCCTTAATTAGTGCCACTACAGCAGTCCTCTACCATCTGGGTAGTCATACAGTAGGAACATCTGGAATGACGCTGAGTGTTTAGCACCCCATACTCTCTTTCTGCTTCCCAAGGTAATTTCTCTCATGATCGTGGGTTTGATCCCCACTGTGGTCACCCATACGGAAATGTATACCAATATTACTGTAAGTCGCTTTGGCAAAAAGCGTCTGGTAAATGGCATATATTATAATATATTATACCTCAGCAGAGCGACAGTAGCTGGTGTTCCTAAGCTCTAGAGGCCTGCTCTCAATCTCGCAGGCCAGATTGCTCGATACTGTGATTTTCCTGCATAAAGTATACAACATACTGTGATTTTCCTGCATAAAGTATACAACATACTGTGATTTTCCTGCATAAAGTATACAACATACTGTGATTTTCCTGCATAAAGTATACAACATACTGTGATTTTCCTGCATAAAGTATACAACATACTGTGATTTTCCTGCATAAAGTATACAACATACTGTGATTTTCCTGCATAAAGTATATAACATACTGTGGTTTCTCTGCATGCAGTAACAGTATAAAATATACTGTGATTTTTCTGCATACAGTATACATCAATGTTTACCCTCCTGAAGAGTGCTCGGTAGCGCTGAAAGCAAGCCTCAGGGAGGGAGGCATATCCTGCTGTTTTCAGCAGTTAAGACCCAGCCTTAAAACCATCCGCTGTCACTAGATATACAGTTGAAGTCGGAAGTGTACACACACTTAGGTTGGAGTCATTAAAACTTGTTTTTCAACCACTCCACAAATGTCTTTTTAACAAACTATAGTTTTGCCAAGTCGGTAAGGACATCTACAGTGGGGAAAAAAAGTATTTAGTCAGCCACCAATTGTGCAAGTTCTCCCACTTAAAAAAATTAGAGAGGCCTGTAATTTTCATCATAGGTACACGTCAACTATGACAGACAAAATGAGAAAAGAAAATCCAGAAAATCACATTGTAGGATTTTTAATGAATTTATTTGCAAATTATGGTAGAAAATAAGTATTTGGTCAATAACAAAAGTTTCTCAATACTTTGTTATATACCCTTTGTGTCAGTAGGTGCTGTAGGTGGGTGTGGTGCAGGAATCAGGCGCAGGACGCAGAAACTTAGTCCAACAGACTTTAGTAAACATAACTCAAAATATGAGCCAAACGAGGCCGGAGACGATCGTTACGCACACAGGCGTAAAACAACAGTAATCACAAAATGCGCACAAAACGTGCGAAAACCCTCTCCAAACACAGAGGAGGAAAAACGAAGCACAGACTAACGACAGTAGGTTCAATCATTCACAACACATGACAACCACAACGAGAACTTATAGGACACAATAATGAACACTAAACGATAACAGGTGTACAACAAACAGACAAAACCAAACGAACAACGAAACATACAACGGTGGCAGCTAGTACTCCGGGGACGACGACCGCCGAAGCCTGCCCGAGCAAGGAAGAGAGGCAGCCTCGGCCGAAACCGTGACAGTACCCCCCCCTTGACGCGCGGCTCCAGCCGTGCGCCGACCCCGGCCTCGGGGACGACCAGGAGGACGCGGAGCAGGGAGCGTCGGGTGACTACGATGGAATTCTGTCAGGAGAGACGGGTCTAAAATGTCCCTCCTCGGCACCCAGCACCGTTCCTCCTGGCCGTACCCCTCCCACTCCACGAGATATTGGAGACCCCCCATCCGACGTCTTGAATCCAAGATGGACCGAACTGTGTACGCCGGAGCCCCCTCGATGTCCAATGGGGGCGGAGGAGTCTCTCTGATCTCATCGTCCTGGAGTGGACCAGCTACCACCGGCCTGAGAAGAGACACATGGAACGAGGGGTTAATACGATAATCACTAGGCAGTTGTAATCTGTAGCACACCTCGTTCAATCTTCTCAGGACTTTAAAAGGCCCCACAAACCGCCGACCCAGTTTCCGGCAGGGCAGGCGGAGGGGTAGGTTTCTGGTAGAGAGCCAGACTCGATCACCAGGTGCGTACACCGGCCCCTCACTGCGGTGGAGATCGGCGTTCGCCTTCTGACGACGGATGGCCCGCTGCAGGTGGACGTGCGCAGCGTTCCACGTCTCCTCCGAGCGCCGCACCCACTCATCCACCGCAGGAGCCTCGATCTGGCTCTGCTGCCACGGTGCCAGAACCGGCTAGTAACCCAACATACATTGGAAAGGGGTTAGGTTGGTTGAGGAGTGGCGTAGAGAGTTCTGGGCCATTTCTGCCCAGGGAACATACCTCGCCCACTCCTCCGGCCGGCCCTGGCAGTACGATCTAAGAAACCTACCCACATCCTGGTTCACACGTTCCACCTGCCCATTACTCTCCGGATGGTAACCCGAGGTCAGGCTCACCGAGACCCCCAACCGCTCCATAAACGCTCTCCAGACTCTGGAGGTGAACTGGGGACCTCGATCAGACACTATATCCTCGGGTACCCCGTAGTGCCGAAAAACGTGGGTGAATAGAGCTTCGGCGGTCTGTAGGGCAGTAGGAAGACCCGGCATTGGGAGCAAACGACAGGCCTTAGAGAACCGGTCCACAACGACCAGTATAGTAGTATTCCCCTGCGAGGGGGGAAGGTCTGTGACGAAGTCCACCGAGAGGTGAGACCATGGTCGTTGTGGAACGGGCAGGGGTTGTCACTTACCCCTAGGCAGATGTCTAGGCGCCTTACACTGGGCGCACACCGAGCAGGAGGAGACATAAACCCTCACATCCCTGGCTAACGTTGGCCACCAGTACTTAGCGCTAAGGCAGTGCACTGTCCGGCCAATACCAGGATGTCCGGAGGAGGGTGACGTGTGAGCCCAATATATCAAGCGATCCCGAACCTCGAGCGGAACGTACGTCCGACCCTCCGGGCATTGAGGAGGACTAGGGTCGGTACGCAACGCCCGCTCGATCTCAGCATCGACCTCCCACACTACCGGTGCCACCAGACAAGACTCCGGCAGTATGGGAGTGGGCTCAATGGACCTCTCCTCCGTGTCATACCGCCGAGACAGTGCGTCTGCCTTACCGTTCTGGGACCCAGGGATGTACGTGATCTTAAATACGAACCGTGCTAAAAACATATTCCACCGCGCCTGGCGAGGGTTCAGTCTCCTAGCTGCCCGGATGTACTCCAGGTTACGGTGGTCAGTCAAAATGAGAAAAGGGTGTTGAGCCCCCTCAAGCTAATGCCTCCACACATTTAGGGCCTGTACCAAGGCTAACAGCTCCCTGTCCCCTACGTCATAATTTCGCTCCGCCGGACTGAGCTTTTTGGAATAAAAGGCACAGGGGCGGAGTTTAGGTGGCGTGCCGGACCGTTGCGAAAGTACGGCCCCGATACCGGCCTCGGATGCGTCAACCTCTACCTGAAATGGTAAAGCGGGATCCGGATGCGCCAGCACCGGAGCCGAAGTAAACAGGTCCTTCAGTCTCCCAAAAGCCCTGTCCGCCTCGGCTGACCACTGCAAACGCACCGGACCCCCCTTCAACAGAGACGTGATGGGAGCTGCCACCTGTCCAAAACCTCGGATAAACCTCCGGTAGTAATTTGCAAACCCCAAAAACTGCTGCACCTCTTTAACCGTGGTTGGAGTTTGCCAATTACGCACGGCTGACACCCGGTCAACCTCCATCTTCACCCCTGACGCAGACAACTGATAACCCAAAAAAGAGACCGACTCCTGGAAAAACAGACATTTCTCTGCCTTGACATACAGGTCGTGCTCCAACAGCCTCCCCAACACTCGGCGCACCAGGGCCACATGCTCGACTCGGGTAGAAGAGTACACAAGAATGTCATCAATGTACACGACCACCCCCTGCCCCTGCATGTCCCTGAAGATCTCATCCACAAATGATTGGAAGACTGAAGGAGCGTTCATCAACCCGTATGGCATGACGAGATACTCGTAATGACCCGAGGTGGTACTAAACGCTGTCTTCCATTCATCGCCCTCTCTAATGCGTACCAAGTTGTAAGCGCTCCTGAGATCTAATTTTGTGAAGAAA